GAAGGGTAAAGGGAAGAAGAGGATCATAAAGGACCAAATAGAGGGAACCATAGAGCTGATACAAGGCTTCGAGTTTCCTGAGGCCAGTAATCGCGTCAAGACAACTCGGGACGGCCACCATGTAATCGCAACGGGAACCTACAAACCTCAGATGCGCGTTTGGGATCTGGACCAACTTTCGCTAAAATTTGAACGACATTCCGACGCTGAGAATGTTGATTTTGCTGTACGTGAGTTGTTCACCCTTCCCCGTAGGTGGTCTTTTGAGTTCAGAGCGATGCTGATTCATTTCGGTTTATTTTTTTAATCGTTCGTAGATTCTATCTGACGACTGGACAAAAACTATACATCTACAAAATGACCGTACTATCGAGCTGCATACGCAAGGTGGTTTCCACTACCGCACCAGAATACCTCGATTTGGTCGTTCCCTCGCATACCACTATCCTTCATGCGACACCTACGTCTCCGCTTCAGGCAATGAAGTCTATCGCCTAAACTTAGACCAAGGACGCTTCATGAACCCACTCGTGCTGGAAGAAGAGGAGGACGGAGAAATTTTAGGTGTTAATGTCATTGACATCAACCAAGCTCACCAGCTACTTGCGTTTGGTATCGACGGTAATGGGACGGCACAATTTTGGGATCCTCGGTCGCGTTCTCGTGTGGGCACACTACGGCTCCCCAGAGATCGTTTAATGCCTGTTGGCTCTCGGGCGGACAATCTCAGCGTAACTGCAATCGCTTCTCGGATGGATGGGCTGTCGTATGCCGTGGGCACATCGACCGGACATACCCTTCTATACGACATCCGTGCAGCGAGACCGTTCGCCCTCAAAGATCAAGGTTATGGGTTGCCGGTTAAGACGGTATCCTGGATTGAAGGCGGCAGTCGAATGGCTGGAGATGGTATGGTCTTGAGCGCCGACAAAAAAGTAATCAAAATTTGGGACCGAAATACTGTAAGACGCTGGTTTAAAATTTCCTCCTCGATTACTGAACTTTTTCCCTTGATTCTCGCCTAGCCTGCATCTAATTTTGTTTCGATAACACCTGCCACCGACCTCAACGACGTTCATCACTTACCTGGGAGCGGCCTTGTTATGACGGCCAATGAAGGCATCCAAATGTCTACATTCTACATTCCTCAACTCGGCCATGCGCCTCGGTGGGCAAGCTTCCTCGAAAACATTACAGAAGAGATGGAGGACCAAACGACACGGTCTGTATACGAGGACTATAAATTCGTCGAAAGGTCCGAACTCAAGACGTACGTTGCTCTCCAATTCTATAATACTTCATCTCTAAAATCTACTATCATGTTTGCAGTCTCGGACTGGATCATCTCGTTGGAACACCCGCTCTCAAACCATATATGCATGGTTACTTCCTATCCCTCAAACTATACGATACTGCTCGTATTATTGCCAACCCCTTCGCCTACGAGGAGCATCGCGAGAAGATGATTCGCGAAAAGATGGACAAGATGGCCGAGACGCGCATTCGATCCAAGAAGGAGCCAGGCGTCAAAATCAACAAGGCTCTTGCCGAGAAGGTCCTCCGTGACGCGGAGAAGGCGAAACAGAGAGCTGAGCGCAAGACCAAGCGGAAGACAGCCGCTGAGCTCATGGACGTCGATGAAGGCGAGGAAGAAAACGAGGAGCCATCACGGCCCAACCTCTTATCGGATCCTCGATTCGCGAAAGTCTTCGAAGACCCGGCGTTCGCGATCGACGAGAATTCGAGAGAGTACGCTCTTCTCAACCCTTCATCTGTTGCTCAGAACTCCGGATCCCGGCAGAAGACAGCCGTCGAGGAAGAAGAAGAAGAGAGCGACAGGCCTTCTTCTGATGGACTTGGAGGAAGCGACGAGGATGAAAATGAAGATGACGGAAGGGATGTGTCGAGTGATAGCAGTGCAGAGGGCGGTTCGTCGCTTTCATTAATCTTATCGATATTCACTGATATATTGCGTGTTTTTCCTTTTAAAAATCCAGAACTCACGAAATTCGATCCACGATCACGGCCGGGACAAAGGAACTTCCGTGCTGAGGAAGTGTATCAGCGCGAGAAAGAAGAAAATCGCAAAGGCTGGATGGCGAAGAAAAAGGTTAACATGGTCCCCATGCGTCCTCAAGCTGGGGGACAGCGCTCTAGCGACAAAACTGCGACATTTGGCCAGCGTCGTGCTCCAGTAGCGTCCACTTCCTCCAAGAAACCTGGCGCAAGGAGGTCCAATGCGCAGCAAGACGATGCTCCTATGGAGATAAGTTGGGTACCGTCGTCAGGTTCTGGTGGGAAGGACGATGGTGCTGGAAAGCGCCGGGACCAATCTGGGAATGAGAAAGGCCGCAGGAAGGGAGTCGAGTCCTTCGGTGCTGGGCTGGAGAGGGGCTTTGAGGAGCATGCCGAGTTGGCCGACTCAGATCGAAAAGGCAGGACACACCGAAGGAAGGGCGTCCGCAGCGGTAGTAAAAATGTTTTCCGGCGGATGGATGGATAATCTCCCTCGAACCGCTTATGCTTCACGGCATCTTCGTTTTTTTGTACCTTCTTCGTGTATTCTTGCTATCAGAATTGCACTTTTGTTCCCCCGTTATCTTTTTTGGCCTCGCCTTCAGAGCGCCAAACCTCTTACCCCGTCTTGCGATCCAGATAACATTGACTCCGAGGAAAACCTAGGCGAAATCAATCGGATTTGTGGCGACTTATGGTACAGAGAGGATATTCTACAGCTTTGATACTCTTGGACCACAAGGGACGACGACTCATCGATTAATGGTGACCTCACAAGTGTAACTTAAAGCCAATGACCTACTTCTATCACGGCCTCAAGGCGACTTTGCAAGCAGTCTTGCTCTTCATTTTCTCAAGCGCCTTGTCAAATTCTCTGATAGAGAAAACGTCTGTGACCTGCGATTCATGTAAAGAAAGGTTGTTTTAACGTCAGTGCATGTGAAGAAGGGGCAAAACCGACTAACCATTCCTTTAACTCTAATTTTGCCGCTGTCGAGATAGGCCACGGCCCGTGGAAAGCAGTGAGTCTGCGCAAACGAACCAATGATCTAATTGTAAGAAGGTGCGTGTGCGTGCAATGTAAATCTCGTTAGCAAGGTTATTCGAGCTGGTTCAGTCGCAACCCCAGTGTCAATGAAACTGACCTTGATCTCGTCCTGAAATATTCTGGCTGGAGACCAATGGACCAAGTCGCTATTGGAATAAACCCCATATATCATCAAGGACCCTCCTCTGCGAACAAACGACAAGGCGTCGTTGGCGACTTTCTCCGACCCAGTCGCTTCAATCTAGAGGTTGTTTTATTAAACCATTGAAACCCAAAGATTAAGAGTGTAATTGGGGTCAACTTACGACGACATCAAAACCGTGCTTATAATCTTCTTTCAATTTATTCCATTGCGGGGATGGATCGTCGCGATCCAACTCGATGTAGACATCCCCTGCTTCGAGTTCCTGGGCAATACGCGTCTTGATCCCTTTATTGGCGGCAATAACAACCTTTGAAGCGCCATTTAGCTTCAAGAGTTGGGCTAAAATGAGTCCTAGGAAATCGGAGATTAGAAGAGCATGTTCAGAGTTAAATTAAATGATATCAAGGTGCAAACCTGTAGGACCAGCCCCGAAAATCAAGGCCTCGATCCCGACTGCAGGATTAAGTTTGTCCAGACCGTGAATCGCACACGCTGCAGGTTCCACTAGGGTTGCTTCCTCGTCCGTGAGATTTATGATCTTGTAAACCTTCTTACTTTGTCTGAAAATCCCGTCAATCCCCGGGGTTTGAATCGAGCTAGGTCGGATTTTTTCTTTTTGGGGGGGGGGGAACTTGGAGTGCTCACATGGCGACATAACCAGCGAACCCGCCGGCCATTGTAACACCGAGGCTCTCGAAATTCTCGCACAGGACATGCTGTCCGCGGCGACAATAGAAGCATGATTCGCACTGGAATTCGACGAATGGGTAGATATTTTATCAGCGAAGAGCAAGGAAAGGAAAGAAACGAGGCGCACAAGGATGGTGTTGTCGGCGACACAACGGTCGCCAATGGAAAATCCTTCTACTGATTGCCCGAGCTGCGAAATAACACCAACGATCTCATGGCCCGGGATGAGCTTTAGTTCGAACAAGTGTCAGAGTTTCAATGCCACCAAGTTGAGGTTCAATAAAACTTGCGGGAAATTTGCCGATAAATTCTCCCTGATTCGTTCTACATATGAGCCAGCTGACGCCGAAATTCTGTCAAAGATACACTGACTTCGGCCAGGTGTTGGTCAGTGCCACATATACCACAGCACGTCACTGCGCCACGGGTAAAAAGCATGCGTTGGGATATGATTCATAAGTATCTATCGAATAGAGTTACAGAGTCCCTCACCTTGTATAAGAACCTGGTCATCATTGATTTGTGGGATTGGTACGGTGATAACGTCCAAGTCTCGTGGCTAGGGAAGACGGCATGTACAGGTCAATAACTAGTGGAGATCACTGACTGATTACGATTTAGATAACTCACGGCATGGTAACAAACGGCATCCATCGTTTCCATTCTTTTCAATTGGAAAATTTCAGAAGGTAAGTACGGAGGCCTTGAGCGCTAGCACTGGATAATGGGAGGAGCTGGCAGTGAGATAAGATGGAGTTTAAATTACAGGGAATCGGTATACAGCTGTTACGGCACCCTATACAGTAGGTCACGGTCCGCATGCCAAGTAATCTATCCAAGTCAGATTGGGGTGTCTGGAGAGGACAGCTATTCGTGACGGCGGTTCGGTCAGGAGGTCCCCCATGAAGCTTGAAGTAGCTTGGAGGTAACAGGCAGCTATCCCATGATCCCCATCAGAAAATAAGCGCCGAGCCTGGGATCTGCTTGAAAGTTCCTTCACGTGAGGAACCCTATGGGCGTTGCAATCCAAAAAGTGTTCAAATATAGTGGGGACTTAAAAGAAAGCTGCCTGGTCATCCCAGGCGAATGGTGAAAAATAAATTCCTTCTAGCCGACTTGAACGACTGACCTCGTCATTGCGGAGATTACATAGCTTATGTAAGCGGCTCCTACTAGTGACGCGCTCTACCAACTGAGCTAAGAAGGACATGTTAATGTGTTGATAACATTGATTAAAGATGTAATTTTTGAAGATATTGCTGTTGCATTTTTTTGAGCTTGGAGAGAGATGAGCAACATGCAATCAATTACGTTCATTATTTTTCCCCGCGAAATGCCAGTGTACCTGGATATATGACCGACGGAGGTACTTAAGGATTGAAGGAGTCGAGATAAGATAAGATTTCACATGAAGCCGAATTAGATTTTCGGCCTTCCGGACGTGAAAAATGTTGAGGTGACTCGACCTGTTCTCCCCCATCATGGCAGACGAGCGTCTAAGCAGGGTGCTTTCCAGGCTGCAAAATCTGCCTTCCATATCCCTTCCAACGGATTATCCAAGGCCGACTGGAACCAACAAGCTCATCGAATCGGTTCATTTGGCACAACTATCTGAACAGGCGTCTCTCAGCCTTCTGAAGCTTGTTTTGTACACCGAAAACGAGGAATCGGACGAGGATGAAGTAGAGGTCGGCGTGAAAAGGCCATCCGCATTCCATCTTCTGCTGGCTGCATTCACCGTTCTACTCCACAGGTACACTGGGGACACCGATATCGTTGTTGGATCTTCGTCTGCTTCTGCGCGCGAGCCCCTCATTCTCCGATTTCCTGTTGATCCCACCGATCCTTACTGGGCCATCGTTCGACGTGTTCAACATATAGAAAAGGAGGCAGAGGCAGACGCCCTCCCATACGACCTGATCACGCGGGAATTGAACAAGGGAAAGGAAGAAGGCCAGGATGGACCCCTCTTTCGTGTTCGTTTCTTCGACGAAACCGACGAGCCGACCGACAACTTCATTGGTTCTACCAGCGTGACCTCCGATTTGACAGTTTTTGTCACCAGACCCCCTGCGTCTACGCGAGCGTCCTTGGCACCTCACATTTCACTTCGAATCCTCTACAACTCTCTTCTTTTCACATCATCCAGGATATCGACATTCATTGACCAACTCTCAGTCCTTTTGCGAAAAGTTTCATCTAATCCTCTCGCTCCTGTGGGTTCCGTGCCATTGTTGACTCCGTCCCAAAAAGCCAAACTCCCGGATCCCACGTCTGACCTCGATTGGTGTGGCTGGAAGGGTGCCATTACTGACGTGTTTTCTCGCAATGCTCGTGCCCATCCAGAGCGACCTTGCGTGGTGCAGAGCTTACCAGCCGATTCACTCAATGTACCTCAAGAAACTGTAACCTTTTCATACGGTTCCATCCATCGCGCCTCAAACGTTCTAGCCCACCACCTCATCAGCAATGGTATCCAGAGAGAAGACGTCGTCATGGTATATGCCCACCGAAGCGTCGATCTAGTAGTCGCGGTCATGGCTGTTCTCAAAGCCGGCGCGACTTTTTCTGTGATTGGTGCGTCTTTCCAATTTGATTGGTTGGGACTCGACTAATATAAAACCCAGACCCTGCTTACCCTGCTTCACGACAGATCATCTACCTTCGCGTAGCCCAACCTAGAGGACTCGTGGTTCTCAAGGGAGCAGGCGCGATTGGCCCTTCCGTCCGGGAATTCCTAACCGAGGAGTTGAAAATCAAAGTAGAGGTGGCTGCACTCGAAGTCTTCCCAGATGGACACATATCTGGAGGCTACGACCAAGAAGGAGAAGATATACTCAAGGCACACATGCACCTTGGTAAAACTGACCCAAACGTTGTGCTTGGCCCAGATAGTGTAGGAACCTTGTCTTTCACTAGCGGAAGTACCGGTATCCCCAAGGGCGTGAGAGGTCGCCACTTCAGTTTGACCCATTTCTTCCCCTGGATGGGCGAGCGATTTGGGTTGAACGAGACCTCTAAATTCACCATGTTGAGTGGAATTGCCCACGATCCCATCCAACGAGACAGTCAGTCCCTCCACGCAGTTAGCTTTCGAGACTTCTAACCGCTGCCCGACAGTGTTTACTCCACTCTTCTTTGGTGCTCAGCTGCACGTCCCCACTTCCGATGACATTGGTACACCTGGTCGGTTGGCTGAGTGGATGGCCGCGAGTGAGGTCACGGTAACCCATCTTACTCCCGCCATGGGTCAACTACTTTCCGCACAGGCTTCGTGCCAAATCCCGACTCTCCTCAACGCCTTCTTTGTCGGCGACGTCCTCACCAAGCGTGACTGCCTCCGCCTTCAAGCTCTCGCAGCCAATGTACGGATCATCAACATGTATGGAACTACAGAGACCCAACGTGCAGTGTCATACTTTGCCATCCCTCCGGTATCCCAAGATTCCACGTTCCTCGCCACGCAAAAGGATATCATGCCTGCTGGTGAAGGTATGATCGATGTTCAGCTCCTCGTCGTCAACAGGAACGACCGAAACATCCCCTGCGCCGTAGGAGAGGTCGGGGAGATCTACGTCCGCTCGGGTGGTCTGGCTGAAGGCTACCTCGACCAAGACGCCAGCGCGGAGAAGTTCGTGAACAACTGGTTCTCGGCCAGCTCTCCCCGACGGAAAGACACAATTTTACACCCTAACGGCCTCCTCGCCGGCGTTGAGTCGCGCTACTGGAAAGGCATCCGCGATCGCATGTATCGCTCGGGAGATCTTGGGCGCTACCTCCCCGATGGTATTGTGGAGTGCACGGGACGTGCGGATGATCAAGTTAAGATTCGGGGATTCCGTATTGAGCTCGGCGAAATCGATACTCATTTGAGCCAACATCCCCTGATCCGCGAAAATGTGACCCTGGTGAGGCGAGACAAGGACGAAGAGAAGATCCTTGTCAGTTACTTTGTTCCTCTGGATGGACCGAACCTGGATGCGTATGCCAGCGATATTCCGGATGATGAAGACACCAAGGGCTTGGTCAAGGGCATTAAGAAATACAGGCGACTCATTAAGGATATCCGTGAACACCTCAAAAAGAAGCTGCCCAGCTACAGCGTTCCTACACGTATGTCTTCTTGTGTTGCCCGGATTATGATTCTGACTTCTTTTCTCCAGTTTTTGTTCCACTCAAGCGCATGCCTCTCAACCCAAACGGCAAAATCGACAAACCGGCACTGCCTTTCCCAGACACAGCACAAGCTTCATTCGCGCCAGCAGCGCCCACGGCCGGTGCCAGTCCGACCGAAATCACCATGCAAAGTGTTTGGTCCAGTATCCTCCCCAATGCACCCAAACCCATACCTACCGATGAAAGCTTTTTCGATCTTGGTGGCCATTCAATTCTCGCTACACGTCTCATCTTCGAAATACGCAAGGTCTTCGTCATAGAGGCACCCCTGGGATTGATCTTCGAGGAACCAACGATTGCGGGTCTTGTGCAGGCCGTGGATACGTTGAGAGACGCGGACCTTGGCTTCACAGAGAAAGTACCCTCGACGGGTTTGCCCGGTGCACCTGGGACCCCGGGGGCAGGAAAGAAGCCCGTATCACCCTATGTCGAGTACGGTCAGGACTATATCGCTCTGCTGGAAAAGCTCCGACCTTCGTATCCTGCGCTCCCCGCGGACTTCAACGAGCATCCTATCACGGTGTTCCTAACTGGAGCCACTGGTTTCCTGGGAGCTTTCGTTCTGAACGATCTCCTTTCGCGAACTGAGAGGGTCAAGAAGGTCATTTGCCTTGTGCGGGCAAAGAGCGTCCAACAGGGAGTCGATCGGCTGAAGGAAGGTTCAACGGACAGAGGTGTTTGGTCGGATGAGTGGGTGTCTAGTGGGAGATTGGAAGTTGTAACTGGTGATCTTGGGTTGGATCTCTTCGGGTTGGATCAAGGGACTTGGACGCGAGTCGCAGATGAAGCTGACGTAGTCCTGCATAACGGTGCACTGGTAAATATTTTCATTCTTTTACGCCTCGCCTTTCACTAACCTTGCTCTTGTAGGTCCATTGGGTTTTCCCTTACGAGAAACTCCGTTCGCCCAACGTCCTTGGGACAATTACTGCGATCAATCTCGCCGCTTCTGGGAAACCTAAAGCCTTTGTGTTCGTATCATCGACGTCTGCGATTGACACGGACCACTACGTTCAACTATCTGAGTCCTTGGCCCGCCTTCAGTCGAATTCCAAGGGTGTTCCGGAAAGTGACGACCTTGAGGGGGCAAGATCGTCTCTCAAGACTGGATATGGCCAATCCAAATGGGTGTCTGAAAAACTTCTCTTCGAGGCCGGAAAGCGTGGTTTGAGAGGTCACATCGTACGTCCAGGTTACGTTGTCGGCGATTCCCATACAGCTGGTGAGTAAACTGGTTCAATCTCGAGGTTCAGGCAGCTGGTTCTCAACGATATTTCAAGTTACAAATACCGACGATTTTATTTGGCGAATGGTCAAGGGATGCGTTCAACTCGGACTCGTACCAGATATCAATAACACCGTCAACATGGTTCCTGTCGATCACGTCGCTCGCTGCACGGCACTGGCAGCTGTTGCGCCTCTCCCAGATGCTCCTCTCTCCGTCCTTCATATCACAGCCCGTCCGCTACCGACGTTCAACGACATGCTTTCTTCTTTAGCGCAATACGGCTTCCCAACAGCACCATGTGAATACCTCGTGTGGCGTCGCAAACTCGAGCAGCACGTCATGGAAGTTGGTGACAATGCCCTCTTCCCACTTCTTCACTTCGTGCTCGACGATCTCCCTACGAGCACCAAATCCCCAGAGCTGGATGATTCGAACACGACTGCCTTGTTAGAACAGGCTGGATGTGAAACGTCTTCCACTGTAGATGATGCGCTCATGGGATTATATCTTGCTTGGCTCGTACGGGCGGACTTCCTCCCTCTACCTTCTTCGCCCTCGCCCGAAAAGGCCCTACCGGTTCTGGCGAACACGGGAGTGATCAGGGCTGCAGGCAGAACTGGGCTGTAAATGTTCTGTTTGAAAAATTTAGGAAGGATTACCAACAAGAATCCGGGAATCTTTTGGAAATTCAAAATGTATGATGTATATCTTCTTGTTTTAGCTTGTACATATATTGGAACTTAGAACAGCCAAAATGGCGGGAGGTATTTTCTCGTTCAAGAAAAGATTGATGTTATTTTTGG